TCTGTGGGGCATGCTCAAACGGAAGGTGGAGGAGGGCAAGGTCTCTAACATCCACCAGCTCCGTGATGTTGTCATGGAGGAGTGGAAGAGGACTCCAGTGGCAACCTGTGAAGCTCTGGTGAACTCCATGCCCAAGAGGGTTAAGGCAGTGCTGGAAAATAATGGTGGCCACACAAAATGTTGACATTTTGGGCCCAATTTGGACATTTTCATTTAGGGGTGTACTCACTTTTGTGGCCAGTGGTTTAGACATTAATGGCTGTGTGTTGAGTTATACAAGCTGTACACTCACTACTTTACATTGTAGCAAAGTGTCATTTCTTCAGTGTTGTCACATGAAAAGATATAATAAAATATTTACAAAAATGTGAGGGGTGTACTCACTTCTGTGAGATACTGTATATATATATCTCAACACCACGCCACCAGCGGTAGTTGGTCCATTACCACCTCGGTGGTAAAAATCTGCCACCGTCACAGCCCTAATATTAATATAAATAAGGTAAGTCTGAGAGTCTTATGTTTATTTGACGATGATTTCACATTTCTTGTTTGTATAAATACAAATAAAAGGTGAACATAAATTTTTTGTACCGTTTTTATTTCTAAAATATAATAAAGTTTTATAGGAGAAGGTTTCATAGACTTGGCAAATTCATTTTTCAGAAGTTTGTAGGTACAGACATCCATTGTGGGGGTTCTTGGCAGTTTTCCTGAGACTTTTTTTAATATTGTTCATATCTATATCGGAATTATATCATATCAACCGAAATTAAGAAATATATCGTGATATAAATTTTGGCCATATCGTCCAGCCCTACTCTAGCCTCAGTGTCTGCCTGGCACACATGACACACAAATGCCCTTGTTTTTGGGGAAGGCTGTCTTCCCTCCAACCAATGGTGCAGACCATTCTGATGCACGCAACATGAAAACACCATCACAATGGCCTTTTCTCTGCAGTGTTGATGCAGTGTTGGTGGCTAACATTAATCTAAAGCAGTGTTTCTCCAACTGCTTTTGTCTTCAGTAACCCCAGAGATACATCAGTAAAAATCACATCACTTTAGTGGCACTAAAGCAGAAATGTGTTCTTTATAACTTATACTACACTGGATATTTAGCATCATCATGAATAGGTGTTTCTTCAGCTATGGCCATTTTTAACCCTGTGGATTCTTAAAAAACACTTTACACACTTACTATTATGTCAAGTCTATTTGCATAGATCATACAAGGAGAAGATTTAGATGATCAATATAACCTTTTAAAATATAATAAGTCTGGGACAAGGATAAACAAAAATCAAATAAAATATTTACATAAAGATTTAGGCTAGAAGTAGCTAAAAGTAAAGGCATTTATAAAAAATAAAAAAAGACAAAAAAAGTGTCTGCAGTTGAAGAAATACCATAATATCATTACAATAATTCTCTTTGGAGAAATCTTTGTAACATATAGCCTAGAAGTCAATAAAATCCGGGTAATGTTATTATATTATTTCATTATTGCAGATTTGTACTGAGTTTAGAGTTTGCATTTTCCAAGCATTTTTATGCAGATTGAGGAATACAGAATCTAGGTTTTTTTATTTTATAACTGATTTAAATTTTTTATTTTGTTTCCTTAAAGAATTGGGGAAAAACATGAAAGAACTTCCTGAAGTTCTTGATTTCTTTCTTTCGTAACATACTAGGACAAAGATGACATCATTCCACATTAAGAGCAGACATCAATTCCAAACACATTAATTAATTTTTGACTGCAAGTGCAACACCACAGGTCAAATGCGTCAAACCATCAGCTTCAACTAGACAGGCAGCCGCTGATCTGAAGCAATATTCTAGTTCACTTGTATAATTTCAAACCAGACCACAAATATGTACAAACACACAGAATGCCTGATATAAACTGACAACCTTTGAATGACAAGTGCACATACATAGTTCAAAAATATCAAATTTTACTCAGGATGTTGCATCATATTACCTGGAAATAAAGCCAAACAATCAACCATATCCCACAATGCCATATTTGCATTTCAAAGACAAACTATACAACAAAACGAAACTGAGTCTCTGGTTACTAGAACCACAGAGGGAAAACATTCAGAGCTAAATCTGACAAGACACAAACATTCAACGGCTGGTGCTTTCAATGTCTATTTCAGCATTGTCATTCATATCCACACCTCTTTCCTTTCAAAAAAGCCACTTGTCACTCCATAAAGAATACGCAGAGGGATAAAGCAGTGTATTCAATTCATAAATATCCCTTTAAGAGGGCCGCGTCAGTGATTTGTCACTGGGGACTTTTGGCAGAGCTGAAATTGATGTAAAGGTGACATGTGAGTTATGCATGTGGCAATGGCAGGCGTTTTGAAATTACTGAGTGAGGCAGGCAGGCTCACTAAAAACTAAACCAAAACCAAAGTGCTCCTCAATGCTCTCCTTACCAGCCTGCACAAGAGGATCTCATTAATTTGAGGGGAGAGTTAAAAAAAAAACAATAAAAATCCCCAAAAAGCTCGACATGCACACACAAGGTTCTATTGTCTCCTGTTCTCTGATGACGCCTGTCACTTAATGTGTGAAAGCCATGCTTGCTTCAATGGGATCAACTGTAATAAAACTCCATCGCCTTCACTGAGCTATGAGTTTATGAATCTCCTTAGAGAAACTCAGTCATTTAAAATCCCTCTAGCTTACGGCAGTGAAACAATGTTTAGTTTCAATCTCCCCGCAGCCTCCGCACGGAGGGAGCAGCGCCGCACGACAGACTTAACACGAACAACAAATAATATGTGAAAATCAAGCAAGTCACCGTCTCATTTCCATTAAATGATAAAGTAGCTGCACTGAAAAGAAATGAACTAATTTAAAATGGCTGGCCTATAGGTCAAGGACAGCTGGAGCAAACAGTCTCTGATTTTTCCTCCCACAGTCATACAAATAAAAACATTTTACATTTTCATTTTCAATACCAAAATCTAAGAGGCTTGTTATCTTTTCTTATTTGTTTGATAAATTGTCTGAAAAGCCTTCAGGCTTTGATAAACATACTTAAAACACATTTTCATATGTAGATTATTAGGTATATGGCTATGTTAGATAGCAAGGCTGCTATGCAGTGGCACAGAGGGGTCTGAAATAGCATGTCAGCGTCTATTGAAAGTCAATAAACAACTGAGCCGAGCGAAACAACTTGCATTATTAAAATATTTTTGTTTCCTTGAATTGTTAATATAAAATCACACGGTGTTCTGACCCCAGAAAAAACTTTCAAGGAGTCTTGAAAATGTTACATTTGTCGCCAATAAGCTTTCCACAACTACAGACATACTGAGCTGAGCTCAGAGGAAATGAAGGAAGACTGAGATGAAGAGACGATCAAAGAAAACAGAGCATTCATATTCTTCTCTGATTTAGCACTGTAATGACTATGGGCAGGATTACTTTCATCACACAAGTTAAAAATAAATCAATAAATAAATACATAAATAATCACATCCTGTCTATATTTCCAGGGAATTAAAACATCTGTGAATAAAAGTGATGCTGGAACAGATGGCCAAAAATGATATACATTGGAGTTTTAACTTACAAACTGCTGTGCAATTCACCACCAAAAAAGCAACAGAATATGAGCTAAAATATTGAATACCAGAACATAAATGTTTTACGAGCAGATCATAAACTATTGCAAATTTATATTTGCATAAATGTAAAAATGAGAGCTTTGTATATACAGAAAGCTTTATGAACCTGCTGTTTCCTAAAACACTCAATATATGTCCGGTGAGTGAAAATCCTTTGCAAGCACAGCACGGAAAATAGGCAACTTCCTCCTGCCACAAAAATAAGGCAATCACACAGTTGCTGTTAATATCTGAACTGACTGCAGAATCCCTAGAGAGGTTTCTATTAACACACTGTGTCCATTTCACTGCTTAAAATAAACAAGGTTTTATCTCTATAAAGTCAGCAGGAGTTAAAAAAAGACAGCAGCAGTTGGCGGAGAGAGGTGACCTTACCTCATTGGTGTTCCACCTGTGTCTCTCTTTTGGCAACGTGGAGCATTTTGGTAGACATTCAAGCAGCTTTTTGGGCAGGTATATTTTCAAATGTCCATGTTCATCTGCAAAGCAACAACAAAAAAAATTGTAAAAATTTTGCATTAAAGTATAGAAGTAAGAGGCAGTAAAATGTTTGTGCCATTAATCAATACCCATGATGGATTGATGTAAGCATGCTAATATTTAGGGCTCAGTGTATGTATACATAACCAGTAGGGATGCACCGATACCATTACTGGTATCGGTATCGGGCCCGATACTGAGCTCTTTTACTCGTACTCGTTAAAATGCCCCGATACCAAACGCCGATACCACACAGCATGTGATAAGTGCCATATTCAGACAAAGAAACACAATAATTAAAAAATTTACAAATGCAATAAAAATATTGGTATCGGTACTCGGTATCGGCAAGTACCAAAAATAAAAGTATCGGTATCGGGCGAGTACTGGAAAAAGTGGTATCGGTGCATCCCTAATAACCAGTATATATGATTTAATATTAGATTATCCTTTGCAGTTCTTCTACATTCTTCATACACAGCACATAACAAGGATCATTAATTAATGGCCGCCAATTATTCTGACTGCAAAGAGCGACTAATGAGCAACTTGCAGAATGAAGGTAAAAAAAATTTGAATTAATGAGCCAAGCATGCTATGAAAAAAAAGGTAAAAGAAATAGTGAAAAATTGTGATGAGAATCATCAGAATTCAGGTGTTTCAGTAATGAAAGTCCACTACCATGGGCTTAAGGGGAACTGATGCTAAGCTTTATTAACAATTTAACTACCCAATAAAGTACACAGCCACCCTGATCCTGATTCCTGACTGCTCGAAAGAACAGTAAAAAGCACAAATGCTGGCTAAAGATAAAAGAAAAAGGGAATACAATTTGTTCAGGGGCAATTAAGGCAGGGATATATATCAAGCTTTCTTCAATTCTTACCCTGTCTGTCTCTCGTTCCCATTCCTAGGGGCTTGGCAGGCCAGTCAAATCACTGCCATTTAACTTTCATTGTTAAATGAAAGTTCACTTTCAGGGCAGAATTTCTAAATTACAATGAAATTGTCTACAACTGTAAATTGAGTCCAATTATAATCACATAGTTTCAACCAACTGCTGATTATACATTCACTGTCACCTACACCAACATGACATTCACATTCAATTCCAGTAAAACCCCTGCAGGAGTAAGGATGAATGGATGAAAGGGGAGAAAAAAAGCTTTGACCAGAATGAATATGCCTGAATAAAGTGAATATATGCAATCTGCAAGACTTTTTGGGGGTAAAATAATCTTACATAATGTGGTGTGTGTGTGTGTGTGTGTATGTATATATATATATATATATCAGTGACGAGCGGTGACTTTTTTAACGGGGTATGCTGAGTGATAAGATCCACCCCCCCATCGGTTTTTAGGACACTCAAAAGGGATCACAGATGACAAATAAGAAACACTGTGGCAGGTGTCGATTAATCCTTCTTCTATCGTTTCAGGTTTATCCATTGTTACTCGAATGCAAGAAAAATATAGCTGGTTTTCCAAGTAAAAACCGCCAAATAAGGTTTACACGTAGTTATGTTATGATACATAATCAGAGGGTGGGGAGATGGGGGGATTGCCCCGCTCTATATGTCTCTGCATCTGCTAAATAATTTTTTTATTCACAGTGAATAGGAGTTAAAACTCCCACCCGGGTGACATAACAGACCATGCAAAATACCCAAAATTATTTAAAATATTGCGAAGTAACGTTGCAACCTTGCAAACAATAATAAAACCAGAGAAGGACTTCAACTGTAAGCAAAACAATATGATGTTTGTTATTATTAAAATTTTATATAGCCCACGTTTTTATAAAAAAAAACATTTAATTTAACGCTTAGGCAATAATGTTGACAATAACGTATATCTTCAAAAATTTGCTTTGCTTGAGAAAATAAAAATATACAGTTAGTGTTTTTTTTTTTTTTTTTGATTTAGTCGAGTTGGTTTTGCATCAAACACAATGTAATTTTCGGCACAACTTATAATCATGTTTATATGAATTATCCCGTGAACTTATTCTCTCAAATGGCCTGGGTATGCGGAGCATTCGCAGCTTATATGGACGGAATGCCACTGATATATATATATATATATATACTGTGAAGCAAACAAATGTGCATAAGATATCTATTTTTATTTTTCTGAGATATTTATATTAATGTTATGATTATTTTAAAAAGTCATTAGTTTATGAGCTCAACCTATATTTCAACACCAGCACAATGACAGGATGTCTAATCCATAACAAACATCCTAACAGGGAGTCAAAAATGTGACATAATATGCCTGAGTCACTGTCAAAAATGCCCCCACCATTTTCCTAAGGCTGTAATTGTGACAAACAATCGTCTATCATTTGCGAATGAGATGCTATACCAAATCCTGTAAACGTGGTTATGAGCATGCTTGCAAATCAGTTTGATTTCCTCTGTCTCTAAGCTAATGCGCTTATACGTCACCAGGTTTTCTGCTGCCACTCACGTCACTGATGAAAAATCAAGACACATGCTACAGCCAAATATGCATCACAAGGTCTGACGGTTTGTGTTACACTGTCAGACGATTATGAAAAATGTAAAAAACCCTCATATGAGGGCCTCTTTCTCCACATCAGTGAGAAAGATATTTGCTTCTCTCAAACGACAGTGGCATCAGCTAAACTGGCAGTTGTGAATCTTTCATTGTTCCCCAGTTGTCAGACAATCAACTCTAATATTGCAGACATCTGTTTATGTCAAAGAATAGGATTTTGTCATCTGTTTGTACTGAAAAATATGGTCTTAAATGACATTATCATGTTACAGATCTCTAGTTTTCTTTCTTTTTGTCTTCTACACCCAAAATAATATTTTCATTCAATGAAAAATGTACAAAAACATCACTTATCACTGTCTGCAAAGCCAGAACAGATTTTTGCTTTACATGCCATAATTCACATTATAATCGTAGGGTGGTGTGATGGGAAGAGGTTAAATATGAGAGTCATCCCTTAGCTGAGTGAGGGATAACATACAGTCAGCCAGTCATTATCTCAAAGCAAACTCTGACAGGGTGATCAAGCCCCTGACACAAAGTGGAGGTCTCTTGTATCACCCTGAATGGATAATGACCAACTGACTGTATATTTTCCCACTCATTACACAGCTACTAACCAATTAAATAAATACAGAGACATAAAATATTGCTTTGAGAAATTATTTTATTATCTTACCCTTTTATCTCTATAAAGAATTGCTAAGTGGTGGCAATTGGTTATTGTAAATTGTGTATGTAATAGTTTATCCATTATTATATGACAATCTGATTGCTTAATTTCTATTTTTATATATTTTATTATTTCATTTATAATAAATACAAGCATTCTCAAGAATTTCACAGAATAGTGTGTTTCAATTTAGAGGGACTGACTTTTAGTTGTCCTTCCTGTCTAGCTATGCCACCTTTGAAAATGTCTTACAGTGACTGTGCTCAACAAAGTCTTTTACTTTATTCAAGGAATGTGATTCTCAAGTGTGTGCTTCTTGTTACCTGAACCCTTTTCAATTTGTCTGAGAACCCCACGAAAGCTCAGACTTCTGTTTGTGAATATAAAACAAAGACCTGTGCCTCAAGCACAAGCTGATCAGAAATCAAAGATGTACACTTCAAATGGCAAACCCCCATGTCCCCAGTGCTTCTTAAAGGCAAAGTCACCCTGCCAGTCCGTTCTTCTATTACACCTCTATTTTTAATTTGCTCAGATGTTTGGATGTCTAAAGTTTTAAAAGACAATATTGGAGAATATGGACTTAAAGGATGACCGTGAAATCTTTAAAGAATGAGAAAAGGTGGAGGGGAGAGAGAAGGGAAAAACAGCTCACTGAGAATTAACCCCAGCCTGGAGCAAGGTCCTAACAAAGAGTTTACAGCTACCTGATAAGGCCGTGATACAACAGTATGACTCTCTGTGCTCTTTCGTTTGGGGCATGGAGATAATTCTGGAGATTGGAGTATGTGCTGAATGTGGCATACACTGATTGGAGAGATTGTACAAGGGTAAATGAGTTTTACAGTAGAGAGCTGAAACTGGTATCTGGAATCATTTGACTCACTCAATTAACATTAGCATAGAGCACGAATGACAACGAGCCGCCTTCCCACATATAGACAAAAATGATTTATCTGTGATGCAACCAGTGTCAAAAGTGAAAACAAAGGTAAAATCAAAAACATAATGGGCCAATAATTTTAAAATAAAGCCGTAGGCTTTTTAACTGGCAAATGGCTATTCTGTCAATTACAAATATGTGAATATAACCATGAAGAACAGTTTAAAGTCAACAAGAAATGGCATTCACTACCCATTTTATGTCTGTAATGTAACATTTTTATGCATAACAGAATACAGTTTTTTTTTTTTAAGTACTGTACTCTCTTAAAAAAGGTACAAAAGCTGCCACTAGTGCAGCACCCTTTAAAAAGGTATATTAGAACTTTAAAGGGGTCATATGATGCGATTTCAATTTTTCCTTTCTCTTTGGAGTGTTACAAGCTCTTGGTGCATAAAGAAGATCTGTAAAGTTGCAAAGACTAAAGTCTCAAATCCAAAGAGATATTCTTTATAAAAGTTAAGAGTCAACCACGCCTACCTAAAACGGCTCGTTCTAACACGCCCCCACATGTCTACGTCACGATGTGGGAAGATTTGCATAACGCCGCCCAAATGTTCACGCAAAGAAAGAAGGCGTAACTTTTATTCTCGCTGTAGTATTGTTGCCGCTGCCGTCATGCCGTGGAGATGCTGTTTTTCGTTGTGAAAGCGAAACTACTTTGTTTGGCCTTCCATAAGAGGACACCAGCCTCCACTCACTCAGCCCCCCGGCCGTTCCTCACTCTAGCTGCCGGCCTCCGCTCACGAAACTACTTTGTTTGGCCTTCCAAAAGAGGGCACGACTAGAAATCAGTGGTTAAGTTGTATTTACAACACTGTTCCAGAACACTTCAACCCAAATATTCAGATGTGTGCA